TTGAATAAAATATTCATCATAAGAGATCTGCATGGACCACGGCAATCATAGATACTACAGAGCCTGATGATCAATATGTGATCGCTAGATACTCGATATCTGCGCACAAGACGTTTTTTGGAACCTGCATCCTGCCATCAGGACGCATTGTCCCACGTGGCAAAAAATCTGCGTCCTGGCATCAGGACGCATTGTCGCCAACGTGTTAACATTTGTAATGAAGAAAACCATGTGTGGCTCATGGCACGAGTATACGTGGACTCTTATTATTATAGGGCTATTATGTGGGAAATATCGGATATTTTATATCGTACTTAGCTATAGTTGTCTGAGCTTTTAACATGGACGATGAGTTATGTTGCGCTTGATTGAAGACACTTGAAGCGGCACTTTACACACGTCGTCTCGTTCCTTCCCATAGGGCTACACAACTTGGGCGCTATCCCATGCCCATTCCACGAGGTATGATGATGAGTAAGACAGAAATAGTAATTTTGCGGGGAGTAGTTTCGCATACGAGCCACACCATCACGGGTTTCGCTTCAAGGATTTCTTGATTTTCAGGCAAATGCCTCTAATTTCAGGTATTTTTCAACAATATCCAAGGCAATTGCTTCATATAATTTATTTCCTCCGTTTGAATCTCTTCGAAAACGATTGCACTGACATCAATGCCATAACATTTAGCTGGTTGTGTTCTTTCATGACAAAGCATTATCAGGCTTTTCGATGGAGCAGACTCCATACGGATGTATGCGGTAGATGAGATACTCCATCGCGTGCATGAGATTGGGGGAGACGTAATGGAAGGCGATGGCCGTGTCCGAACAGCACTCGGGTCCTTCCGTGTAATTGTAGTGAGTGAATCTAAACAGCCAGTTGAATCGGTGTTCCGCGATGGGGTTGAGATGAGTCTCTGGATTGAAGGGGAAGAAGCGCCAGCGTCCAAACTCGTCTCGGGAATCGCCCGCTTCCACTCCCACTGCGGTCAGGCATTTCCCTGTCATCAATTAAATAAAAAATTAAAGCTCAGTTTGTAGCCCCAGCTATCCTACAGTTGTACCAGTCCATTATGGGCTGAAACGGGGTGAAGACGAGAGGAGTTTCCGGAAGGACACTCTAAGATTTTCAACTTTGAACAATACGTACCAATGGATCTTCGTTTTGAAGGAATGCGTGGCAAAAATTACGCAACAGCGCCATGATCTCTTTATTCCCGATTTCCCTTTTGGTGCGCCTCACTTCTCACTTTCATCAGTTTTTTTAAGACAAAAAACAGAGAGCAAGGCTGGAGGCAAAATAAATTGATACAGAATTCGTCTTTTCTCTTAATACAGCTCCGCTCATTTTGATCTGGGAAACTATTCTCTTTATATACTTTCACAACTTGACTGATTTTTTCTCCTGCATGTATCAGAAGCATATTTTGGGAAAATTTCCGCTGGATCTCTCGCCAAATAGAGAAAAAAGTTTCCAATTGGTTCCAGAAACTCATTCAAAACAAGAACCCACCTCTTCACGTCCTTACTAGCGAATGATTCCGACCTCTGCAGAAGTAAAATATTCGCAATCTATGACGAGAAGAGAATTAGGGAAGAACAACAGACCGATGGACACGTCTTCATCCTTCCCAAGCGGACAGGTCTTCGGATTCGGTAATGCCTCTTCCGCTAATCTATTCAATGCCTCTCGGCTCAGCACGTATCCTCCGAGAAAAAAAAATCTTTCGATCTAGGCATCCAAAAAATAGGTTTCATCGTGACGGTTGGAGATCATGGCAGTGTCCCTGACCTGCTCCCCCGCTCATGAAACCATGGAAACGACAGCCAAAGTAAACTGGTCTCAGAGGATCGTGCTTGTGGAGCATGAAGCGGAGATTCTCCATGACGACGTAGGTGTCATCATCTGCTTTCAGGAACCAGTCCGAATCGTTGAGGTGGTGTTGGTAGACGTATTTCCAGGCCGCGTGTGATTTGTCAGACAGATGATCCCGACCTTCCTTCACGTCCAGTGCCACGGTGGGCAACAATGGATCTGCACATTTATACCGTATCATTCCATCATAAATAATATTATGTTTATACTAATAAGTCATGATTGTTTTTCGTCCATACCATGCCGGGAGCTCATGAAGATGAGTTGATCGCAACGCTTCCCCCAGGTTTTCTTCACGTGCATCGCTTTTTCGTGATTCCCCGGCATGGTCATTATCCAACACAGGACCCGCACCTTCCGCATCCGCTCCGTCGGCAACTTCTCCGCATCTGTCAATTTAAAAAAACATCATTCTTGTGAAATTCACCGAGGGACAAGATGAAGAGAAAGTGAAGTGGATTTCGTGAGAACCCCAATTTGGAAGCACTGGTTGAGAACCCATGTAGGCGACGGCATGGGTACCCGATTCTTGAGGGATCATGATCCGAAACGGTTCTTGCTCCACTCTGCGAATAGATAATAGCGGAAAGTCATTATTGTGCTACTGAACGTCCATTCAAATCCGTTGAAGCATGAAGTGCTTTTGCATGTACATACCATGCCTCATAGATCGATGTCAATTTTAATTTTCTTTTTCTTCACGACTATTCATATAATGAAATTGCGTTTAGACAAAGACAGGAATGAATATCCAGGTACCCGACCGATAGTTGATGAAAAAACCATTCGGGTGAGCCCAATCGAAAAGGCAGCGGGGGGATCCCACGAGATACGCAGACAGGAACCCCATGCACGCCCCGCAGATCAAGGCGACCAATGACTCTCCTTTCACGACTCTCCCAAACCTGAAAGGGGGAATTCGAATCAGTTTCTTCCTCCGACTCGCCCGAGTGAAGAGACGAAGGATTCTGGGAGAAGCATCGAGGGAAGAGCGGTGATGCCCATATCATTATGCCCGACGACGAGCACCTCTGCTCACGCTATTGGAGCATTCGAGAAGGACTTTGCTTGGGAGCATCCGATTCAATTGAGCATTGAGCTCACAGTCCCACATTGAATCTGACATGTTTCATCCACCCTTGTTCCATCTCTTTCTAAAGCAGAGAGGTCTTAACTGGCGATTATTGCAGTAGGACGAAGGCGACAGAGCCTACACGGTGCCTATTTCAGGACATCCTAACATACTTTCCGGGAAATTTATATTCTTGACTTGGTCAAGAAGAATGCGACAATATTGAGCAGTGAAGCGCATGAATTTAAACGTCGATCTTTTAGAATGATATGGAGTGAAAAATCATCCGTAAACGAGCCCCCAGCCCCCTGGCCTCCTTACACTATGCCAGTTCTACAATATTATATCTCAATAAATTACATCAATCGGTAAAATGTTGACTCACCCCATGCTATCGTGTTTCACTCCATGCTCAGCACTACCGAGGATAGCCTTGCACCAGATGCGATGACCGTCAGAAAGAAGTGGGAAAAGATGAGGCCGCGTCTGCCCGCTTCCCGGTACACAGTGAGATAGTGACGTGGAACGAGACGATACGGATCTCTCCCAGAGGGCAACATTTGGAATGGATATATGGAGAGAGTGAACGAGGGGGGTCGCGTCTTCTTTCCATCGAAACTTCCTGGAATCTCTACTATCTAGGATGTCCGACTTTTTTTTGCACAGGTTGAATGTATTCGAGACATTGAACTAAGATTGTCTATAAGCTGGGTTTCTCCTACGTCTCCCCTCATATGGGGCGAGCACCATAGAACACATATGGGCTGCATTTCCAGAAATCGGATACGATTTCCTATCTCATTATAATTAAGTCTATGCGCACCTATAACTGTCGAATTTGAGAACTGGCAGAAGTTGTTCATAAATTCCGTCTAATCGATTGAACACGCATGTGCGAGGCTAGTAAAAATACAAGATTGGTTAAAAATCCTTTTTAATTTCGCACTTACTCATACGCATGCTGATTGAAAAGATTTGCTCATGCAGTCTCTTAACATAGTCCTCCCCGATATAAATTCACCTTTTCCAACATATGTGGGAGCTTCCAGAGGACATCTGCAGGCCACTGTTTCAGTGTGTTCTGCACCTACACCGGACAGCTGTAGAGCCACCATGGCTGAAAAGTGCTGTCCTCGCAAAGACTCCTTAACGCGGCCAGAAAAGCAATAATTGCCGGTGATAAAATCTGGGGAGTGCGGGGGATGTCGGATTGTCTAGCTTCCTTGTCTTGCAATAGCCACCGTTATCTTTCTGCTTCTGCGTTGGCGAGTGTTCTCATGCTTGAGCACCTCTGTTGGTCATTTGTCATGGCGCTACTTCTGACTAACCCTGCGTAGGCGTTAATGTCACCAAATATGCGTCACCGTTAATCGTCTGACCTTTCGGAAACCAATGGATGAGTAGGATTCCGTGACATTCCCATTGCATAGTAGACATTTGCTTCCTAGCGGATGGAGCTGTCTTGAATTTCTTTAGGGATGGGTTTCTTGAATTCTTCCTTTACTTTGATCGTCCCGTCGTCTCCGGTTCAGTGATGAAACCAGGTCTCGTTGACGGTGACGAATCGTCGAAAGAAAGCATCTGGATCTGCATCGTGGAGGGCCAGTAGTGCAGAGCCGTCCATCTTCTATAAACTTGTCATCGCCACTGAGTCGTCTCCCAGTAGCACCAGATATTGGCTCAATGCTGGACCGATATTGGGTACGTTGGCTACGTCTTGGGCAATATTGCCAATATTAGGTGAATATTGGGAGAAAAATGAAATTCCAACATTGCTATATGATTATTCATCCAATATTGGGCCGACGCGATGATCCAATGTGCCCGACCGCACTTGAAGTTAACATTCAGGCCACTAGATGGAGGTATAGGTCTCGCTTTTCTCACAGTACACAGAAGTACCCTTCTCTCTTTCCTTGTAATTGTCCTTCACAGGAGTGTTTAGTACGTCGCTATATGTCTCGCCTAGTCTCATTATAGCAATCAATAAAGTCGGACAATTCATCATTTGTTATCCGCATATTCGAGACAGAATCATGGAGTCCAGGAAATAATCAAGCTCATATTCCCTGAGTCCCCCTACGATGGTAGCTTTCCTCTATCCGAGAGGAGTATTAGAACGTGTAATGTATTTGTGAAATCAATCTTTCCTTTCCTCATCCTGAGGACGTTATGAGGATATGAAGGACTGAAGTGACAAGTGCTGCGTAGAACAATAAGGAGTTGACCTCATGAAACGTACTACAATTAGTACGGTCAGGGACGGTCAACCTCTGTAATGTTCTATGCCTCCTACTTAAGCACAAGAGAGACTTGTGCATGGGCAAGGGGTTAAATAGGTACGGGCCGTACTAGTACTGTATAGTGAAACGCCTTCACCCTTGGAATGCCTCTCCTGGAAAAAAATTAGGGAAAATATTAGCGCCAATATTGGCCCGATGTTTTTCCGTGTAGTAATCCCAATAATGGGCCAAGATGGATGCCAATACCGGGCCAATATGTATATTCCTTGGAAGTCGATATCGACCCAATATTGGGGTGCTACTGGGGTCCTCCAATTCTCGCAATGACTGGGATTGGAGTTCGTGCAAACAACGACCTCTGCGTGACGCAGAAACTCAATCTTGCGATGAATACGTTTGACAGCTCGGTAGCATACGTTGTTGTCCCAAACTGGTAGTACTTTTTGTTCGGCCCTCGTGCGATCAAATATTAAAGATCAAACGTAAGAATCAAGTGGGACAATGATGGAAGAAGGTAGGAAACAAAAAGGGACCGGCCCAAGTTCCAGAATGTGAGTCAGTGAGCGAACGGGTCATGAAATGCGACTTGCAACTTTGAGAGTCTGGTGCCACATTCCGCCCCTCCCTTTAAATTCATAGCGCAAGCCTCTGCTCTCTCTCTCTCTGTTTATGGCACATGCTCCATTTGGAACGGTTATTGGAGAATGAGGAATGACATTTCTGCATTCGTCGCCTTTAGTGGAAATACAATATTTTAATGTGAGGGAGCCAAAGGGCTAATTTAAATTCATTACCTTCCCCCTCATCTTATAACGTCAAAAGTAGACATATCCTTGACTCCAAGGAAATTTCTAAGAATTTATTTAGTTTTAGTCTCAAATGGAGCATAGTGATTTTCACTAGACTAGATCCCGTATACGGTCCAGTCATGGACATTCAAGATCCCCGGGGAAGAGATCGCCCATTTACGAAGTGAAAATGGATTTCAAGAAACGACAGTGAATATGTGAAAGGATCTCGCCTTTCGAGTTAATTTCAATTCTAAATGGTTATACATATATTAATGCTGATCACGCAGTTGACAAACATAAAATGACCGCAATTCAATGTAAGAAATTATGCGTTAGAGCATTTAGCAGTGAATGTCACATAATTGAAGTTTACTAACTGCAATCATCATTAACCCGAGTTTAAGCAAACAGCAAGCTGGAAGGATCTCGTATAAGAATGAGCTTCAGAATGGCCATAATAATGAAGCTACAGTTTCATATATGTTTGTTGAGGAATGTCCCACTATCCTTTCCCCCACCTCCTGGATTCAATGTAAATCTAACAATATAACACATTCAGGCGTTCGATGGAGATTGCGTGCTATTCCCCGATATATTGAGCAGAAGTTCATCCGGCTAACGAGGAGCTGCTTTGAAAACATCGCGTGTTAATAATTTAACTCCAGCGGAGAAATTGAGATAATGCTGCACGAACGAGAATTTCAAATCAAAGAATTTTTCAAATGTAATCTATAAACGAGGCTTCCGATTTCATTTACAGCATTCATCTCTTTATGTCCTCAGGTACAAATGGATTCAGTCTCATATTTTATTATGGAACTCGCGCACTGATGCAGGGAGAAAGGGAAGAGTATCAGACCGATGGACACATCTTCAGCTTCCCCGCGAAGAGGACAGGACTTGGGATTCGGCAATGCCTTCTCCACTAGTCTCGTCACCGCCTCACGGCTCAGCACATATCCTCCAACGAGAAAAGAATGCCATTAGTCATCCCAATATGTATGAATTATCGCTCATGAATCTGGATTCCAGATGTCCATCCTGACCTGCTCCTCCACTCATGAAATCGTGGAAACGACAGCCAAAGTAAACAGGTTTCAAATTATCGTGCTTGAGTAGCATGTAGCGAAGATTCTCCATGACGACGTAGGTGTCATCATCTGCTTTCAGGAACCAGTCCGAATCGTTGAGGTGATGCTCGTACACGTATTTCCAGGCCGCATGCGATTTTTCAGACAGGTACTGCCGACCTTCCTTCACGTTCAACGCAACGGAGGGCAATGATGGATCGGCACATTCATTATTGAAGGTCCTAATGTGCATTCATTGCATGTTCTTCATTAGCCGAGGCAAAACTGAAGCTATTTCCCCATTTCTTCCATTGAGTTAGCAGATAAGGATAGTTTAGGGAAAAAGCATGAATTTAGAAAAGGACACCTTCCACGAGTAAACCGAAAGTAAGATCACTCATACCAGCTCTCTACACGAAAAGTCGCATTGGCTAGGGACCCCCTGGTTACGTATCTTTAAAGATCTAAATATAGTATTTTTTCGAACTTCTGCCCAGCTTCAATGTGGTAAAGATTTCTGAATAAGCACTTGATGCGTACCTTTTTTGGTGCTCATAAATAAAATTTGATCGCATCGCTTCCCCCATGTTGCCTTCACGAGTTTGGCCTTTTTCTCGTGGTTATCCGGCATTGTCAAGATCCAACAGAGGACTCGAACCTTCCTCGATTGCTCCACCATCGACTTTTGCTCAGCCGTTCGGGTGAGAACTCAAATATTTCGAAACCTGAATCTGAAGATGTAACAAGCAAGGTCAGAGAGAGGGTGTGAAATAACCGTATAGAGCAAGGTCTTGCTGGCATTGATTGAAGGGCGCAGTATCGGCGTCCATATCATCGCGACTCAGGACCATACCTGTCTCCCTTTGACCTCTGAAAATCGTGATAGTTCTGAGTATTTCTTTAGAATCATCCAATTAGCTTGAAGCAAAGATAGTTCTAAAGGTTTCTTTAATGGAAGAAATTAAAACCGGTTTCATTTTCTGTATTAAACATCTGCGTTTGGAACTCTGCCAGTTTTCAAAGGAAAGGTTTATCATGCAATTTATTTCATTGTCCTACAACTACATGCGCAGTCATTTCTTAAAAGTAATTGGGTCTAAATTAAAACTGTAGAACTAGCTTTGACATAGCCTCCTGCGGTTTTTTTGCTTTCATTACTGTCGTTTTGGAGCAAATTTTACCTGAAGACCCTTATTTAGTTTCAGACATATAAGCAGGAGTTTTAAAAGTTCCAGGAGGTGGGGAGTTACCGACGCGTTATGGGAGCATTGCATGGTATATGAAAGCAGTCGCATTGTACTTCTGTAGCTTCAAACGGAAAAAGTAGACTTAAACGTGACATAATGACATTCCGTGCGTAACGCCTTACCATAACGTTATTGGTTACCGTAGCTAAAAGGAGAGGAGAGGGAAAGGAGGGAGAGGATGAGGGACGGGAGGGGGCAGTTAGGTTGAAGATATAAGAAATTATTTTTAAAAAAATAGTTCATATTATGTGATCCATTTGACGAAACACTCGTCTATAGAGAAGGTCTCACTGTCTGGAGACAGGGATATTATCTATCATGGAACACCTTAATACAAAAGAGAAAGAACAAAACCGGGTTTTCCTTCCTAATGTATTTGCCGTCTAAAATGAACCTCCTCGCACCCAGGGAAAATGAAGCCCATTGCATATTGCATTTGTACAGATTAGCATGGGTCTTATTATTTCCAACGTCTTGCACAGCACATTGGTTTCACATTAACAAGCAAATCTTTCGATTCATCCGGGGGACAGGGGGATTTGCTCCTTTGCTCCAGTCAGTGCCATCTTTGCAATCGTGCAAAGTAACCTAAGCAAACGAATCTTGCAGGATCTCTATAAATTGAAATCTCGATTGTTATTATCATAGCATTTTTTACTTATTGGCATATTATGGGGAACGCGCAATAGGAACAGGACTCGAAAAACTTTACGTTTTGTATCAACTTCAGTTTCCGGTTCTCTCATATCCCATTATCAAAGTAGATTCCGTGAACATCTCTTAAGAGCGTCTCTATTGCTGGAAACTCAGGCCAGTGTCGTAAGCTTTTCCATTAGGATCGGCAATGATGATATGGAATCGCCTGACCTCATAGCCCAGGAACCAGAGACTTTTCTTGCCCTGCTTTACACGGGGGGAACCCTTCACAAGCAAATGTCACTCCCGAATGATCTTCTGCTGAACTGTCAGAGAAAAGGCAGATTTGATGGACCACGAAACAAGCTCGTTGTTGGGGTAACATTCGAAGGCATATCGTAGGGATCGATCCCGCGTAAGAACTGCTGCAAGTACATTTTCCATGAGTAATGATGCTGTCATTTCCTGGCACTATTAAATAATGAATAGCTACTTTGGAATGACCTGTCTTCATGGTGTTAATGACCTTGGAATAATCATTATAATATCATTTGGTGAAGCGAAATTACACATTTTTAAATCTCCAGAGTGTTGTATATTAAGAGGAACAGTCGTAAGCAAATTTTTCGTTCCATAGAATTAGCATAACGAAACTTCTCACTTCAAATTTCTGATGAACGTATACATCTATGCTAAACATACTCCGTCCCAGAAATACCATCTGTTGAACTGTTACATGTAATTTGGTTTTGTATGAGAAAAAAAAACGAAGGGATATCCAGACCCCTCTCGCAGGAGAAATTGATTAAATACATTCCAGCAGTTCATGTCAATAAACATCGGAATGTTTAATGGTATGCACATCCTTCCGGTCTTATGATAGCTTATGTCATTCCTTCGTACCCCGCAGAATACTTTCACGACCATACGACAACCCGCGACAGTAGCAAGACTAATCTTTATGGTTGAATAACATGTAAAAATACGCCAAAAGGGCATGTCCATTATCAATATTTTGTGAATATTCTTCTCATAGGAAGTGGTTGGCTGCGATTAACCAGACCGAGGGGAAGAAATTAGGGCGGGGTGGCGTCTTGTTTGAACAATATGAGTAATAATGAAGGCAACAGAATATTAGGACGGCAATGCATCCTGTTGTCCGGAAAGAGTTAAAAAGCTAATGAACTACACGACAGCTATAAAAAAAAGTATTGTTCCGAGAGATATTACAGTAAATTATTTATTCTATATTATTTTCTTATCCCTCTCCCGGCCTTAGTGCTCGAAAATCTTTCTTGACAAACTTGTCTCTCCCGGCCAAGCCGGTCGTAGGCATTCGTTTTATTCGAAGGACTCCTAGTTTCACACGTTAGACTATATATTTCGTGCTTCCACAGTTCATCCAGATTACGTCTTGTAAAATAATAAGATAATATCCTGGGAACCAAGGCTTTATCCGCTACCGTGAGACTCTTAAGAGACTTCGAGAAGCCGTTCCTCAAGGAGAAACGGCCTCACGCAGGAATTGGAAACCACAGCGGGAGTGTTCCAGCAGTGTCAGGGTCTGAGTGGCCGTGTGAGGTCGCGCGTTATTGTGAAGGAAAATAACGCCTTGACAAAGATGACTGGGAAGATGACGACGAATGGCCAAGCATATTCCCCATTAAGCCCAACAAGTTGGTGATGAACGTTTTCTTGTGGTGTCGCTTGGACGAACAAAACGAATAACATTCAGCACTTGAACGGTTGACCACGTTTCTAGGAGGATCGACATGTTAACTGGCTTGTCACGGATGCACAGAATAACACATCAACCAATCCGTACGTGCAATAATACCCTCACCACTGCTGTACTACTCCACGAAACGAGTATCTCGATCCAAGCAAAAAAAAACTTAGCCAGAACAGACCTTGTTACCTTACTTATTGAACATTCCAACAAGTCATACTGTTCCACATGTTCTGTTAGAACTGGTATGTTAACTAATCTAAACTCTGTATAATTTTTCAGGGTATTCCAGAAAGAAAGGCTTTGCTGTAGATTTACTTAAAATGCATTGTATTGCGTCTGTGATGCAAAAACATTATTATCCTATACTTTAATTCGAAGAGGTCAAAAGCTGCGGTGGCCGTGGCCGTTGCTGTCACCCCCAACGCGTAGGCCTACGATGCAATCCCATTCTGGATCATAGCCCAGGGGCCGTATTCTATTACGTTCTTAAGTGTGATTTCCCTCTTAGCAAGATGCTTAGTTGGTACTTGCCCCATTCAAATGCATGGCCGAGGTTGAGCAATCTGCTTAAACTAAGTTTAAGATTTTAAT